CAAGGACTATCCAAAACTGCAAAGACCTGCAAGATTTATGGACCAATTTTTCCTAACCCTGCCGGGAACACCTATCTAACCCTAACCCTAACCCTAACCCTAACCCTAACCCAGAATTCCAGGGGCAATCTCTAGAAAAAATCCAGAGATGACGGGCAGCCCCTGCAGATTCTAGGGGCTATCCCTGGAAATTCTAGAGATTTTTCACTCTTTTGCCCATATCTCCACCAAAACCCCCAGGGTAGCATCTGAAACTTCAACAGCAGTATCAGGGCATCTTTCTGCTTCTTCTGAGCCCATGTTGTTTTTCAATCCCTTTGGGGACCCGTATGTAACCCTAACCCTAACCCTAACCGCGCCTCGTGCACCGCGCGGATCGCCAAATGCACATGCACAAGCGCATCAAAAAACGTGATTGCGATGCAGCTGCGCACGAGCTTCCTTGCTGTTCCCGTGCGCCGAATGCTCGCAATCGCGGACTGTGGAATCAGAATCGCTTGACCGAGTCCGAGTCCCGATGCACGCAGGCCGGGCATTTGAGTGTGGTACGTTTTGCCGATACATCGCACACTTTGTTCGGATGTTTGCTTGTGATGTTCAAATTGCGCAGGTAGCGAGCGCAGTCTTCTTGTGGGTTCTCTACAAATATTGCGGACATGTAGTAGTAAGCTTCTCTGCTCGAGTCCGATGACCTCTTGCAAGCAGGGCGGACTGCCTCGGACGCAGTCAAATCATTGTGATTGACCAGTCCTCTATAGTCCAATGTACTGCGTCAGGGCCGCTCCCGCCGAGGCGAAGAGGGCGTGACGCTTGGCTGCGCCCAGCGTAGCAGCATCGAAAGGATCTCACCGGCTGCCACCAATTTGACTACATGTCTTTGTCGCAGCAGGTCGCGCTAGCTGATACGAGCGTGAAACGGCGCGGGTGCTATGAGACTTGACGCCCTCATGGTCGCCCATGACGTATTGGAAGTTCTAGCCTAGCGACCGCCCACGTTGTCTCGTCACGCCAAATTGACCAGAGAGCCGCGTGGACAACGAGCTGGCGCTCCTTCTCGCGACCCCACATTCAAGATGAAGGTTGGAACATAGTGGCTTGCAAAGCGCGCACTTTGTGTGGTCCAAAAGCCCGAGGCGAACGCAAAGCACATGCAGAGTGGATCAACAAAGTTAATTCGACGCACGCACATCATCAACGAGCTTCTAGCCTCGAGCTTGGCATGGCGATCGGAATCAATTTGTACTGTTTGCTCCGTACGTATATCCGGCAACGTGAGGCGATCGTCATGTCGTCACGCTGGCGCGGATTGCTAACAAGAGATGAACCCGCGTGGCGAGCGCAGCACGTCCCACGCGTCCGATGCACAGCTGAATCAAAGAGACGACGTAATGCGCCATTCATTTCACATGAGCGGCGGCGCCCTCCTGACAGTAAATGAGAGCACCTCTCCCGACACTTCGAAATATTGCTCTAGCAGAACGCTCTGACGCGTTCCCTCGCGCCTTCAAAAGGAGCCGACAGGCGATCGCTGGTAGACCTCGCCCTCCACTCACCTTTGCACCTGACGCAACACCCTAGCCACACCCCAACATGCTCGCCATCTCGCTCCAGAGCGTCCTTGCTCTGATCGCTGCTGCGACCCTTGCGTCAGCCTCTCCTCGCCTCGACCAGCGCTCGCAAGACGCTTCGACCAAGTCTGGGCCGTTGGGTCTCAACAATGTCAAGTGCAGCGATGTGACGCTCCGCACTTCCATCACGACGCAAAACTTTGACTTTGTCAACGTCATCGACAATTACGACTCGTCCGACTACGTCACCTCGACTTTCTTGGCGTTCACGGGCCGCAACGAGCAATGGGTTGCCGAGCATTTCCCTGGCACTCGTAGCCCAGTCAGCAGCTCGTTCACACTTCGCGGCAGCTACTGCGAGCCGATTCGTGGTGCCAAGAAGGGCTCTTCGCTGCTCTTGGCTACGCACGGAATCGGCTTCAACAGATCGTACTGGCGCTATCCTTACAAAGGCCCCGAGTACAGCTTCGTCAACCATGCTGCGAGCTACGGCTACAGCAGCTTCATTTACGACCGCATCGGAACTGGCAAGTCCGACATTCCCACCAGCGGAGGCTTCTCTCGCATGCAGTCGCCAACAGAAGTTGGTGTTTTGACCAACATCCTCGAACAAGCACGTAATAGCAATGTCATTGGTGGCAAGAAGCATGCTCGCATCGTCGGCATCGGACACTCGTACGGTTCGGGCCAAACTCTGGCAGTGACGAGCGCACGACCCGAGCTCTTGGACGGCGTGGCGCTCACCGGTCTCACCCCAGCCACCGAGTACGTTCCCGACACCATCTACTCTGGTGCATACACCCCGATGCGAGAGATTGCTGGCATCGAGAATCGCAACAGACCACGCATTTGGATCGCCACTGGTTCGCGCACTTCGCTGGTCCAAAACTACATCGACCCTGACAATGCCGACGCAGAGGCTGTCAACATTGCCCGCCGAGGCGAAGAGGGCGTGACGCTTGGTATCTACACGACCCTCGGCAACATTGCGAGCCCTGCGCCCGCCTTCAACAAGCCCGTCCTCGTGCTCAATGGCAATCACGACTTGCCATTCTGCGGCTCCAATTGCGAGCGCACCGTGCCGCCATTGCCCGAAGGACTTCGTGCCATCTACCCGGCAGCCAGCAACTTCACCTCCATCATCATCCCCAACACCGGCCACGGCATTGCTGTTCACCGCAGCGGTCCAGACAGCCACGAGATCTTGCTCGATTGGGTGATCAGCAATGGCCTCTGAGAGGCGACATTGGAGCGGCACTGCCTTTAGGACCCTCTCACGATGGATGTACCTTCGCCCCGACCGCTGTTGATGCCACTCTTTGCACCTGCTCCATTATGCTTCTTCAGGACTCGAAAGATTGATGTAGTTGTGTTCGAGGTCCGGATTTGCGTGGCGTTGCGGTCGCAGTCTGAGGCGCTTGATGGATGCAAGCGTGACTGCTGCGTGGTGCACATGCCGTAAAGAACAGAGTGAGATTCGCCCGTCTGATTTGTTGAACGCGACTCTGCCTTCTGCATGCGCTACCTGCCGACGCATTCGCGACTCACGACTCACGACTCACGCGACTCGCGAGTGACTGTCACCGATGACTAGCTCGCCAAACGCTGACCGTTGATGCACGATCACACGAGTAGCGCCACGCGGAAGGCCTTTTGCGCACAGCGCAGGTCGGTCGCATCCAACGCGTTGCGCACAAGACCAGACGCGTCGTGTTCGCTCGCCCTCCATGCCATCCCACAGGCGTAGTCTAGCCAAGCAGGCGAATTGGTCAATCGCGAACAGTTCTGAAGCAGGTCGGCCACACGCGTTCTGAAGCAGGTCCCGCGCTCGTCTCCATCTCGACAAGTTCTCGCTCGTCGCGAGCCTCGCGCTCTAGCCAACTCTCACCTCTCGCACGACGGCAAACAGTCCGGCTCGCACCGCGCGCAGGACAACAGGCGATCGATAGAAGTGGTCTATTTAAGGGAGCTACTGTACAGCAGTGGGTCATTGAATTGATAGCAATAGCTGCTCCACTGCTTAGTTGGCGCCCCATTGGCCTTGCTGATTGTTGTTGAGGAAAGAGTCGGTGCTGGTGCGTTGAGACCCTGCTCCGCCCGCAATATGCTGCGTAGCTGCTCCATATGCTGGAGGATCTCCAGCGCTCTGGTAAGAGGGGGCGTTGCTGGCGTACGAAGGAGGCCTGCTGTTGGGAATGTTGGGCATCTCCGTTCCAGACTGTCCTCCTCCGCTTCCTCCGCGTCCACCACCGCAGCACTTGGAGAATGCTCCTCCCCTTCGAGCAAGCCTGTCGATGGAGTAGCCGGTCGCAGATTCGACCGACGCGACGTCGCGGCCATACAGAAAGTGTCCGGGCGATGCGACGGCCGAGCCGGCAGCGACGAGAACAGCAAGGACTGGAAGTGCAGTGGCGAACTTCATCTTGACTAGGAAGGGTGATGGGGAGTCGGCATTAGCGTCAGTCTAAGCGCCCGGCGATGCTTCGCTTGCTCTGACTTACAAGCGAAAGGTCAGATGGGTGATGGGTAGCGTGAGGCTTATGGAAGTAAAATGCTGTGAAATCGGGAATCTGGCCAGCAGATGCCTTTAAAGTGAAGGTATAGTTGCAGTGAATGAGATGGCTGATCGATTGGATGGAGAAAAAGGCAAGAGCAGGTCGGAGCAGACAGAATGGCCCCCTCTTATACGCTTTCCGATCAAGCTGCCGATGCCCTTATATGGCAAGGCTCCGTGGGGCGATTCGGTTCCGAGAGGGCTCAAGACAATGCTAGCGCCGAACCTCACTGGTCGACAGGCGTCGGTTGCTCCTGGCCTCGTCGCGCGGTACCGTGCTTCATTGAATAGCCAGCGACTCCATGGTGCTGAGCAATCGCGAGTCTGCCGTCGGGCACTCAAATTTTGTACATTATCCCGAAAGTTGGCGTCTCTCTGGCGTGCATGCAGCCGCGGAGCCGAAGAGTCAGCTTAGCATGAGAGCCGCTGATGACTCCGCATATGTGTGCTCTAGCGCACCCCACAAGTCAACAGTGTGAGTCTGGTCAGTCAAATTGCAAGTCAAGAGTGTTCCGAGTCTTGCGAGCTGCACACAACAATGCTCCACCCTATAGGCGGACGGTGGCAAGGGGACAGGCAGCATCAGAGCAGCCAAGTCTCGTCGGCAGGCAGGCGACTCATCGCGTGAGCAACCGAGCGCTGCTTTCATGCGCGCCTCAATGGCGCCAAGCTGCATGCATGCATGCATGCATGCATGCATGGCATTTTGGGCGTGCATGTTAGGGCCCAGCAGGTACTGTAGAGGTGATGGTGCACTTCACCGCAACGCTTTGATTGCTGCAGGAACCGCGCTCCATTCTCACTTTGCTGGCCGGCACATTGTGATTCAAACATGACATGCATGTCGCTCGCTGTAGCTGCTGTCATGATCGGGACGCCACTCATGCAGCTCACACGATGACTGCACAACGAACATACCAATTACAATCAAGAGTCGTGATGGCGCCTGCTCGCCCCCTTCCAAGCGTAGTCTCGAGACTCACGACCAGCTAGAGGTGCAGAGGTACAGGCACAAAGCGGCGCATGCGTGCACACACGTAGCTCACCTTGGCGTTCGAAAGCTTCGCTTCGTCCGCAGCAGACTCGCCGACTTTGCCCTGAGCTGAGCTGAGCAAAGCACGCAATATACCCACGGAGAAAAGTTCAGGTGGGCGCAAGCTATCGACGCAGCTCGGCGTTCCGTGTGCCGTTCGTGTGAGCTCACCATTGGTGGAATGTTGAATGGCGCGTGCGTAGAGTGACTTTGATCGTCAAGCTGGGAGTTGAGTGAATCCTTGCTCTCAGCGCAGCGCAGACCCAGCATGAGACCTGCTCCTGAGCTCCGTCATGGCAGCTAGCTACACGCCATCCGAAACCCGCAGCCGATCGCTTTGGCGGCACCGGTGGGTGGGTGGTCGTGAGTGTTGCATCAGGCGGGATGAGCCAAGAGTGAAGAGTTCGAGTATGCACCCATTCACCATTTTGATTGCAACAGCTTTTGGTCTCAAATCTCCCAAAGACATGAGAGTCACGTGACTGCCCGCCTCTGCTCAGACCATCGCATGTTCGATTCAAGTTTTGCACACTCGTGACTGAGGGAAAGTCGCGGCCCGATGAAGCGACTCATTCTTGATTGACTGCACGTCAAAGGCAAAAAGGTGCGGGGCATCAGCTTGCCAATCCACCACGCACGCACAACCGTGAGCTTGTCCCGGCCGACGCGAGGCAAGCGAGGAGGAACGCGGCGCGGCGCGGCGCGGACGCTGCAGGGTCTGATCACGGTCGTGCATGCATGCATGCATGCCATCATCCGAGCGCTGTTCGTAAGCAAACCATCAAACGTGGGTCGGGCGAGTGATGTGAGGGACAGCAGCTGCATAGTCTCCACTCGTGACTTTGGTCTACCATCACTCGACGAGACGTATGGCCATCGAACGCGCGCTCGTGTCATGCGATGAGATCAATCGCCCGTCTATCTTCCATTCTCTCCCACCTAACCCCGAAGCCCAACGGCAACGGCACCTTTGGATCAGCCGTTCAGCAGACGCGAAGCATCATGTCTTCAGGAAAGCCAAACGCTTCAGGGTTGAAGCCTGAGCTCAGCCGCAGCTTGCCTACACGATCGCCTACAGACGATGAGAAGCCGGTGCTGCAAGCCTTGCGAGACGTGAGTCAGAGTGCTGGGTTGCCTGCTTCGGTCGCTCAGTAGAAGCCCTGCTGATCCTGCCGCCATCCGCTGTTGATGCGGGCGGCGGGCGCGCCCCACTCCGTAGCTCTACAGTTGCGATCCGCGCAGCTCCTCGTACGCTCAATACAGCGAGTCTGCGACATTTCACGATCCGGTCAGCATAGCGTCTGGCCTGCCCAAGATCAGAGCGCAATTCAACGCCCTCGTCGCTCTCTTTCCCCGTTCCAACATCGACAAGTTCAACGTGCTGGATACCAGCGCAGCTAGCACCACCACCACCACCACCACCACCGTCAAGAGCGATCTGCTCCTCGTCGATCAGGATGTGACGTACTATCGATCGAACGAGGATGGAGCTGAGCCGTTCAAGACGATGAACAGCCTGCTGACCATCGAGCGCGATGCGCAAGGCCGCATCACGAGACACACGGAGGAGTGGAATCACAATCCCGTCACCGACTCGGACAATTCGGGCTTCGGAGGTGCGCTCAACGAGGCCAGGAAAAAGGCGTTTGCGGCCATCAGCATGCCTTTTGTCGATCAGACACCGCCGGCCGAGAGAAAGTGAAGGGGGGCGGGCGGGCGCATCCAAGCTGCTCCTGCTGTGGCTGACAAGCGATGCTCGCAACGGTACTCAGAGGCTTTGCTGTCCCATCGATGCTGTCCAACTTCGTGCTTGATGTTGGTGTGATGTGATGTGATGTGATGCTTGCGCCTGTCCGTCTGTGTATGCGCTGTTGTTTATGGACCTGGCGGCGCATTCATGGCAGTCACGAGTCCGATGAGCTACGCCGCTCGTCTGGGGTGTGTGTTAGCGCAGGGGCGTGCTTGCGCACGGCTGTCTAGCACATACGCACACATACACATGTGGAGGCAGGCGGCAGCTTCCGCTAGCGCAAGGCGTGACGGGGGCGCGCGCGGTAGCGAGACGTGAAGACTGCCCACGTGACTCGTGACTCGTGACTCGGTGCAAGCGCGTGCGAGATCTTCCGGATGAATCGTGCGAAGTTGAGTTTGATTGAGTTTGAGTGCAAATCTTGAATGAAGCACGAACCAGAATCAAGAATCCGATCCACGATCGATGGAGCGTCCCGAGTCACAGTCACGGCGTCATGCAAGTCGTGAACAGTCACAAGTGCGAGTGAAGAAGGCAGACAGACAGACAGACAGATCTCACCCTTTTGCTCGCAAACGCCGCCCTTCACCGCTTCTTCATCCACCCTGTCTGGAAACCCCCTCCGCACACACAACGCCCACGCCCACGCAACCCCAAGCCACCCCCACCCCTCTGCCCTCACTCACAACTTGCTCCGACAGCTAAATGTCGGGCAGCAGCAGCAACAGCGCGCTTGCAGCGCGTCAATGCGACGCAATCTACAACGCCTTGGACTCTTCCAACGACCGCAAAGCGCTGACATTGGCTGACCAGCTCATCCAGCGTACCCGCTCTCCATCCTCCTCCTCCTCCTCCTCCCCCTCTTCAGCAAACGACACGCGATTGCTGGCGAGCGCGCTGAGATGCATCGCGCTGGTCAGGCTTGCGAATGAAAAGGCGGACGAAGCGTTGGATGAGATGTTGAGGCCCATCCTCTCGCCGCCATCCGCCGCCACCACCACCTCCTCCCCTGCTGCTGCTGCTGCTGCTACACACACCGCACCACGCGCGCACGATGGAAATGTGCTGCACGCGCTGTGCATTGCGCTCTCTGCCAGGGGCAGGCTGGCAGAAGAGGCAGAGGTGGCGTGTCTGCAAGCCGAGCAAACGCCCCGCTCGCTCGACTTGGGCAAAAAGGCAATCTTGGCGTGCGCGCGAGCTTCCGCTTGGCAAAAGATGCACTTGTTGGGCATAAAGTACTACAAGAACCTCAACAAGGCAGCTGAAACGGAGAAAAAGGAAGCGGTGAGGCGCGGTATGAGGAGCGAATCGGATTGGTTCTTTTGGAGCGCAGTGACGGCTTATCTGCTGTTGGATAGGAAACCAAAGGAGAGGGGTGCGGCACTGGCCTTGCCGTTGGCCAATAGGATCGTCGAACAGCACCTCACCTCTTTTCCCCTCGGAAGCACTTCGGAGGAAGAAGTGTGGGTGGCGGTGCAGCTCAAACACAGGCTGGCGGCCAGGGAAGGCAGCAGCAGCAGCAGCAGCGGGCATGGCTTGAGGGCTGCTGCTCTGGGCCACTTGACGAGCAGCACGGGGGATGTGCTGGTCAGCAAGAATCTGGGTCTTGAAGAGCTGAGAAGAGCGTTGCGCGAGCAAGTGGCGGATGGAGAAGCTTGGAAAGATGTGTGGAAGGAAGCGCGTGCCAAGTTGATGGCAAGCTCCTCGAGCAGGAACTGGGCTCACGTGATGGCCGTCGTCAGAGCTGCGATGGAGCGGCCCGCAGAGCTGCTGCTCGACACGCAGCTCCTCGTTCGATCTCTCGCAGCAACCAGCAACGACCGAACGTCCAGCTTGACCAGGCTGCACTTTGTCAGCGAGGCGCGCAACAAGGATCTCGCGGGCTCCCTCTACCCCGACGCTTCACCGCAAGAGGCGCAGCAGAGGTCTGTGACAGAGCTACGAGCGGCTATAGAGCAGCATCTCGCACACTTTTCCAGTCTGGCTTGCACGTATCAGGATCTCTATGCGTACGCTGCTCACTTGCCAGCGCAGCACATCCAACAGCTAAGCGCATCATGGAAGGGCCGATTGCAGTCTTGGCCCTCCAAAGATGCTCGGCCAATCTTGAGCGACTTGAAGGCAATGTACACGCATTTGAACTTGCTCAGGTTGGCATTGCGCTTCGATACGCAAAGGGACGCGCCTGCGGAGGATGGGGACCTCGAGACGCTGCAGAGCTTGAGCACGTGGTGCTTGGCAGGCTACGACTCTGCTTTGCAGCTGGGCAAAGACGTGGCCACGACAGAGATGCAGCCGGCAGACGAGTACATTTACCTGTACGCTCAAGTCCTTCTTCGCGCAGCGCCGCCTCGCACGCCCGATGCATCCAGCGCGGCGGCAAGGGCCCCTGCCCCATCCGCCGCGAGCATCCTGCATCTTCTGGCCCTTCTTGCCCGCTCTCTCGAAGCGAGTCCCAAATCGTACAAGTTGCGCATCCTCTTCGTCTTGCTGCATCGACTGCTAGGAGCAGACGCGCTTGCCGAAGAGGCCGCTGATCAGATAGGAATCAAGGGTGTGCAATTAGACACGCTCGGCTGGGTGTTCCAGAGGCGTTTGAATGTACCGCTTGGCCAAGTCGCCAGGGCGGGCGACAAGGAGCAGGAAAGGGTCAAGCGAAGCAAAGTCTACGCTAGGATCTCGGAGCTCTACAAGGAGAACAAGAAGGATGTGAGTGTGTAGGCGCAGGAAGCGCTCGATCGGATCACAGATGCACGGGAGCACTTTGCGCGCACAATTTGACACCCATTGCGCGGCACACAGCTTCCAAAAATGATCGCCTCTACGATAGAAAATGGGACGTGGTCGAGGACAGAAGAATTTGTGGATTTCAGCGAGCGCTTAGAGAGGTCCATCTCGCGTTGTCTATTCGAAATGGAGCGGATCCGAGCAGGTGGCCTCGACCACGTCGAGGTGGACAGGGTGCTCAAAGACGTGCAAGGCTGGATCGAAGGTGAGCAGCCAAAACATTCAGGAGCCCGCCCGCCCGCCGACTTCTGAAAGCGAAGCTCACCATGCGCCGTCGGCATTCGGCACTCCGCGCTCTTCAGACGGTCTTCACGACCAGAGAGACTTTGACATTTTGCCTGCGCATACCTCTGAACCGATCTGGGACACCATCTCCGCTGCCAGGACGTGCGGAGCAGCAAAGTCCAATCCAGGCGTGAGTGACGACGACGAAGCATGTCGCGTTTGCACGTTTTGACCCTTTTGTTTTTGGACTCTTCTATCAGGTATCCTACGTCAAAGCCTTCGCACACTTCTGCGCGATAACAAACAGCGCCATCCATGCCGATTCAGAACGGGTAGAGTTGGCAGAATTGACCTCCGCCGAGAGGGGGCTAGTCGAATTGGTCAATGTCTCGCGTACCGGCACGGCCGGCGAGATTGGGCAACAGCTGGACAGCTTCCTACGAGGTAAGGCTCTGGCGCTGGTCTCGCGCTCTCCTACCTCGCTCATGCCATCCCGGCCATCTGCAGATCGAAATGCAGAGGTGCTCACTGCTTCGTTGCCATGCCAATTGCTTCATAATCTGGCAATTTTGCAGGAGGTGAGGTCTGCGTCTTATCTTGCAATCCTCATCGAGACGGCGCTGACGACTTCTCGACCCCGCTTGTCGCGCCAGGCTCTTCAAGCACTCCACTCCATCAAGTCCTCCAATACAGATTTGGTGGCCGTCCTGCAAGGCGAGGCTATCAAAGGCCTGCTGCGCGAATTACAAGCAAGCGCTTCAGAGACTGCCCCGCGACTTTCGAGCGAGATTCTGCGAGCCTCTGATCTCGAAGGCTCAGAGCCGCTGGCGCCCACTGCGGCGCCACACTTCGACAGGGTGAAAGCAAACGCGCATATAGCCTTCGAGCAGGCCTTGGACTACCTTGTTGAGAGTGTGCAAGAGCACATCGACAGATGATCTGCGCAATGCCATCCTTTCAAATCGCTCCTAAGTCCTATCGCTGTGCCGCGACTCTCGAGATGGTCTTGCATGAAGAGACTGCCATGCCTCATCCGCGCGCGCTGTGTTGCACAAGTGAGGGTGTGTCTTAATTCGGCGGCGATGCGAGCACGTCGACCCTGCCTGGCGAAGAGAAGCCATGCTTTTCGGCGCTCGCGGGCTGCTCAGCTCGAATCTTCTCCGTCAAGTCGTGCTCTTCCTCCACCACGCCTTGCTCCTCCTCCTCCAATCCACATGTGCCTCCCAAATCATTCTCATCCTCCACGAGAACCCCGCCAGCGCTCCTCATTTTTCCCCAAGCCATCTCCGAAATTTCCAGATTCTGCGCCAGCGAGACGGCACGGACGATGCGAGCTTGATGGGTCGAGTGAAGCTGCGACCGGAGCTTGGATGCGATAAAGGTTTCAAGGGATGAGAGCGGATAAGCAGAAGGTAAAAGGGCCAGGACTTTGGGCAGGGGAAAATAACGCGATTGGGTGTTGAGGAGATGAGAAGTTGGGATGAGGAGGTCCTTGTCCACCCCTCGGGCCGATCTGTACGAAGAAACGGTTGGGCAAGCTAGCGTTAATTGCCCGGACGATGTGCGCACCACGCTCCCCCAACGGCTGCCACTTACTCGTGCCCGGCTATATAAATGTCCAGAAGACTCTCGAAAAGCCTGGCTCGCGTTTTCGCGTGCAGCGCTGCCTTTTTCTTGCTCTTCTTCGTCTGCTCCACCTTGCCCACATACATGTCCGCTCCTGGAACTTCGGATCGGAGAAATTCAGCGAGCGAAGGGGATATGACCTTGCCTGCTTGAGCGCAGTAGGCCTCTGCAGAGTGAACGTCGCGCAGCTCGAGAGCAAGAATCCGCAAAGCGTGCGCGTGCTCTAAGACCTGAAGAGTGACACGTGCCGAGCGACACATGTCAGCAGACGCTTCAGCACGCCCAGGTTTTCAGAGGGGCGCAACTCACTTTGCCTAGTAGAATTGCACGCTCGAAAGCTGCCCAGTGCTGTCCCTGGAGCTTATTCAAGACGGCACGCGCATCGTCCATCTCAAAGGTTTGCAGTAGCAAGATCAGCTTGATCCTGGCTTCGTATGCGTTTACAGACTGATCTCGCTTCCCAGCGTCCGTCTCGATAAAAGGCGCGCCGCCGCCTGCCGGGATCGAGGATTTTTTGGCGCGTAGGACCAGATGCGCAGCAAATGACTCGGCGTAGTTCCCGGAGATGTATTCGTGTGCTGCGGTAGGTGAGGCGTGCGTTGAGAAGTGTGCGAGTGCTTCTTGAGATGTGCCAACAGGTAACAAACTCACCCACATCTTCCATGTCCATCTTTGCCCGTTCATCAGGCACAATGCTTCGTAGGAGCACGTCTACGATCTCCGACCGGAGATGCAAACTCTGGCGAGAGAGAATGCAGTGTATGTAAATTCCAGGCGCAGTACAGATTTCTTCGAGAACGGCCCACGCACGACTCCGCACAGGCACACCTTCTCGGCACTCGTCCCATACCTGCGCCACTCACCTCGCCAGCTTCTTCACGCAATACTGCATGCTCCAAGAATGCAAGCACAGCATCAGGATGATGTTCTCGAAGCTCTTTCAGCGTCCGCTCATCGTCTCCCTCCCTCTTGCTTGTCAGGTCGACCGTATCCGCTTCTGCTAGCCCGCTCGCTCGACCGCGTCGGTCCGCCGAGGTCAAGAGCTGCGAAAAGACCACAAAGGCAGCGAAGCAGGTTAGAATGATGCAGTTCCGACGTGTGAGAAGCAAGGACGCACCTTGATCCCCGCATCAGAATCCCACCTGATCAGTCTGACTCCGATATCCCTCTTCCACTCCGACTCTTGCTCTCCATCCGCTTGCTCTCCATCCGCTTGCTCGTCGTCCTGCGCCACATCCTCGTGGAGAAGCCTTACAATCTCTCGAACTTGCTCTTCCACCGGTGGCGGCCCTGGCGTCCTGACCGGAGCATCCGCGTCAGCGTGCGTCCCATCTCGCGCTAGTGACCCCGTGGCATCGATGGCATTAGGCGCGAACCGGTCTGCTTTGACTCCTTCCAGCAATTCCAACCTAAGCTGTATGATGCGCTTCTTCTTCTCTCGTTCCTGGCGTGCATCTTGGCTCTGTCGACGGTTCCAAATCACGAGCAGAGCGGACCACATACCCAGACCTTGCAGCGTCTCTTCGAGGACTTGCCAATCGCACGAGCTTTCATCAGAATGCACAAGCGCCAAGAAAGATCTCAGCGCCTGCTCCAGAGCCGGGTCAGAGGGGGAAGAAGAGAGAGGGAAGAGCGAAAGACGACGAAGAAGCAGCTGACCTAGGATCGTATCCCTTGCTGTGGCTAATGACGCCGATGTCGAGCGTGTAGCTCCATTTTGTGTAATAACTTGGCGCTGGCGTTGAGCTTGAAGCAAACGCACTAGGAGCTCTTCGAACCTCCGTTCCAAGAGTTGAGCCAAATGCGCAAAAGGTTGCGCGCTTGATAATTCCTCCTCTAAAATCGGCGGACAATAGTTGGTCTGCAGGTTGCTGCGTATCAGGGCTCGGAGAGAGCTTCGCGCTTGGAGCTTGGCGTCGTTCTGAATCAAAGACGTCGCTGGGTCCGTTTGCGGAGATGGGACGAGGGAAACAAAGTCGGTGTGATCTAGCATGCCAACCAGTTCGAGTGGATCCACCCCGCTCAAGTCCAAGTACGTCTCCGCTCTCGCAAACTCGACGTTGATCAGAAAGTGGGCCGCAAGCTCTCGCGATGCCCGCAGCAGAGTGCCATTGGATCGTACTTGCGGCGGACCGGACACGCTCGAACAGTGTTGAATCAGCTCTTCGAGCTTCTTCCAGCTTTCCCGACGGATCAGATCATTTACGACTTGAGACAAGGTGGGACGTGTCACGTGCTCCAGCCCATCCTTGTAAAGCAGCAACACGTGCGGTACGCCCATTCCCTGTTGCTCCTCTTGCACTCCCTTGCTGTCCAGTAAGTGCTCTTCACCGTGCATGCCTCTCAGATGCAGGCCCAACTGCTGGCCCACAAACACCCCGCTCAATCCTCTTGGCTCATCGAGCTCTTCCGGTGCAGCTCTTCTTCTCCTCTGCGCATCCTCAGCAGATCTCCTCGTCACGCATCCTCTCCACACTCTTCTGATCTCCTCACCGGACGTCGCTCCAGCTGCTAATTGATGAATCTCCAGATGATCGTCCCTGAGCAGACTGTACAGCGTCGCATCGCCGGACAACGATAGTGCGCGCGGATGGGATGCCCATTCCAGTAGCTTTGGACGTACTTCTCCATCGCTGCCCACAAACACACCGAGCGTACCCGTTGGTGCGTAGGAAGTGAGAAGAAACTCGCACGCCGTTTGTCCGTTTCGGTCTGTGGTGGGAACGACGACGATGCTGGGACGTTCCTTTGGGCTCGGCCTGTCGCTGGCTTGAGAGATGGGAAGACCCAATTGTGCGATGTTGCTGTTGCCATTCTCCTGCCCGTTGCCAGAAGAAGCGGGAGTGATGGACATGTCCATCAATACGTACGTGCTCGTATTTGCCAGCAGAAGCTTATCCTGCCATCTTTTTGCCAGCACCGCTCCACCGGGAGGCAGGGCCAGTTCTTTCAGCTGCCTATAGCCGCGCGAGGAGAGGAGGAGCGGCAAGACGCTCTTGCGCTTGATCAGCGCGATCCGCACCAGTCCGCCGTTGCCCTGTGCAGGCTCTGTAGCAGAGTCACTGCTACCACTGATGAGCTCGAGCTGCGCCTCATCGGGCGCAAATGTGACCACCCCGCTGATTCGGTGGAAGGATGGCGCGCTTGAGAGATCCGTGCAACGCAAGAAGTGCAGATTAGACTCGACCAGCACGAGCAGGAGCGATGCGCCAGCCAGGTTGACGGGCAGGATCTTCTCCACTGGCTTGTTGCTGCTGGACAAGTCGACACTGTGCGTCTCGGTTAGCTGTGCTTGCGTGCTGCTGTTGCTGTTGCTGCTGCTGCTGCTGCTGCTGCTGCTGCTGCCGCCGCCGCCGCTGCTTCCACTCGCACTCGCGAATGGCACATATCGACGCAGCGTTCCGTCAGAGAAGCCGACGAAGAGGGCGTCGCCAAGCACCTCGCCGCACCGCACCACCGGCTGCTTGTTGACTGTGCTCGAGCTCGTTCGAGCAGTCGCAGTCGCAGTCGCAGTCGCAGTCGAGGAGGAGGGGGGAAATGCAGCAGAACCGTAGACAGCTACGCTGCCCACGTACGGCTCGAACAGCTCAGCAGACGTTGTGCTGGATGCCATGAGCGCACTGTGCAGGTCGTCGCCCATCTTGACCAATCGTTGCGCTGCAGCTGCGAGAAGAGAGGATGATGGGCGCGCGGATACAAAGCCAGCGCCGCTTTCCGATCCACTCACCACTGCTTTGACAAGTCTCGAGCTTTGGCGGAGCAGCACTCCTGTCCCAGAGGCAGGCCAAGCCGCGCGTGCGAGTGCGAGTGCGAGTGCGAGTGCGAGTGCGAGTGCGAGTGCGAGTGCGAGTGCGAGTGCGAGTGCGAGTGCGAAGTGAGTGCCAGTGAATCGTGTGAGCGGGCGTGGTCGCTGACCTTCCCAACGCACCACTGTGTGGTCAGGACGAGAGAATGATGAATGAATCGTGAATGTGAATGTGCACGCGCATGTCAGGCTCGATCCCGCCAAAGGATGGTGAAGACAAATCACAATCGACCACTCGTGACTCACACTCACGACTTGACGAGCGCATACACTCACGACTCCCACACTCAGCAGCATGCACATGATCAATCACACGAATCACGAATCAAGAATCTCGTGAATCTTGAACGTGAACGTGATGCACGAAATGAATACTCAAGACTCACGACGCTTATCTTGACTCTTGACTCTTGACTCTTGACTTAATTGACTTAATTCATAATTGATGCCTCGACATTCAATTTGAATCAGTCGAGTGAATATTCAAATTCACGATCATTCAACATTGAAGATTCAATCCATTCTTGATTGGTGATTGCCGCGTTGCTCTTCTACCTTGTGCGCGCATGGCCGCGCGGTGAATCGGAGATTCGTGCGTGGCACGTGACTGCGCCCTCCCATCCCTGCCCGTCAACGGCGCGCGCCAGCATCTCTGATGCATCTCTGCCGATGACCAATTTTCGACCCTCTGCTGCTGCTTAGCAAAAGTCACGAGTCAGAGTAGATAGTTTCCAGATCAATACGATGATGCGATTTCTCTCTCCCCAAAATTTGTGCATCGTCGTCCTGCTTCATTGAAGCCACTCAGCGCCGAAAGTCGTCAAAAGGGACACATTTGTAATGCACGCTGGCACTTTAGGGAATGTGCGGGTCGACCGTCAAATCAACCGGGCCCGCAGCATCTCTCAAGCCTTCTATCGACGCTGACAAGACGCGCTCGAGCATTTCGACTTCCAGTTCAGTGCGAACAATTTTGGCAGATGTTGTACAGAAGGATTTGGTGCGCCCGTCAAAAAATTATCTGACGACAGCACTTTGCATGGTGGACCATTGGAGCAGGAGCAGGCGGGGGTCCAGATGGTCCCTGGTGGTAGGTAGGTGGTGCGGGTACACGCGACGGACTGACGGGTATACGGGATGCCTCTTGTCACGTGTCGTAGTGCTTAGTTCAAGAGTTACGGCTCCGCATTCTACATTTTCGATTCGTGATTTCAAGATTCACATTTTTGATTCAAAAATGCATCCAATCAGAATCGGACTTGCGTGTATCGGGTATTGGAGCCTCAAAATAGGATGCCCTCGTCACCACCCATCCTTGCGCAAGACACGTATACCATGGCGCTACACCGATGGCGCGCTCGAGTCGTCAGCTCGGACGTGCGATCAAGAGGGGTCCAGGCAAGCCGACACAAATCCAAATGGTGAGTCGAATGCGTGAGGACTTGTGAATTATAAGGGACAAAATGCGCGGGTGAAAGGCGGGGATTAGACGAAGCTTTCGTTGCGGGGCAGAGTCGTTACATGAGACGCAGAAAGAGATGCAGTGTGGGAGGAGGGGTGGTGGGGAGTAAAGATGTGGCGAAGCGTCCCTCGGGAGGCACAGTGAGCTTGTGACTCGATCGCCGAGAGTGAGAGGCGGGTACTAGTTGATGGGAAGGGCAGAGCAGCCGAGGTTGATCAGGCCATTCTGGGTGACATTTTGGCAGCATCTGTTGCAGAGGCGAGGGGAGGAGCACAAAATTACAGAAGAGACATTAGCAACGGTTCAGAAGCAGGGGCAAGAAGGGGTGAGACCTTTGGCCGGTTCAGGGCGGCTCAGGCTTCTGTTCCCCACTCACACTGGCGTGTTCTTGCACGTGTTGGTCAGGGAAGCGGCACCGCCAATGACGTTGATGGGCAGGTTTACGCAGTTGATACCCACGTCGCCCAGCACCTGCTGTACGCCCAAGGCGGAGATGAGCGTGTCGGCCTTGTCTCCGCTCAGCGTTTGGTCGCAGCACTGAGCCTTGCCCTGGCTGCACGGTCCAGAGGCCTGGATGATGTCTCCACTTCCGGAATTTCCACCGTTACCGTTGGGCTGAGCAGCAGCCACATTGGTAGCGGGTCTAGGTTCAGGGTTGGGCTCCGCAGCTACGGCTTTCTGCTTGCCCGTCAAGTCTTTTTGAGCATCCTTGACCAGATTGGTGATGCGAGAGTTGGCCTCCTTGCCAAAGCTTTCCACTTGCGACTTGGCGTCGCCTCCCTTCTTTTGAAGGCGGCCAGGAAGCTTTTGTAGACGCTTGGCGCCCGACTTTACTTCTTTGGGCATCGCGCCTCGTACCGCTCCATCGACGGCCTCCGCATCAGAGTGCACCTTTTGTGCCAAAAGGTTGATGCCCGTCTGGTCCGCAATGTAGTTGAGAGCGGCTTGAGGGATGGACGCTACGTTGGTGATGCTCGTGATGGGGTTGCCTTGAGCCTCGGCAGGAGACGTAGCCACGGCGAGAGCCGCAGCTACGATGAGAGGAGAGAGTCGGAGTAGCTAAAGAGTGCAATGTGGGCACAGTCAGCGGAAGCAGATCCCGCCAAGGTCGACGAGGAGACTCACTTGCATGTTGATGCGTGGTTGTCAGAGAGTGTATGAGGAGATGGGGGGCGGAAAATGGAGGCGCGGAGGGATACTTACTTGCGTGCGAGTAGGAAGATAGATGCGAGAAAGCACTGCTTCAACACTTTTATACGAGCAAGCACATAGAGGCGCAAGAGTATCCGACAAGTGCAAACGGAGCTGCGAACCTGAGCTATCCAGAGTGTTGGTCGTCGGCATGGCTGCGCAATACTCAGGGGCGACGCTGCCTTGGCGACGAGCGCCCATCACCGCAGCATCTTGAATCTGGGCGCGCACATGTGCTGTTCTCGGCTCATCACCGACGCTCGCACAGCGAATGCGGGATTAAAGTTTCTTGGGGTTGAGCATCCAAGGAATGCGGTCGGCTATACACCCAATTTGCGTTCCAAGAAGCGAGCTGCTGCCTCCTTGTGATTACGTGCACTAGGCGCGCGTTGAAGGATCTTCTCAGCAAAAGCTCCAGGAAGACGATTTGCGTGTGCGATTCAGGAGCGAGAAGCAGCAGCGCGGAGAGCATGCCGCATCCCTCAGGCCATTCAATTACAACCAAGAATATGCGGGGGTTGGGTGCTTCAGACAGCAGCGGCGCGCACAGACCCGATGCGAAGGGTGTAGGTAGACTCGTGACTGCAACGAATCGACCGCACGGGCGCGAATCTATACGCGCTGATCTGGGTTTCCTGAAGCAGCCTAGCGTGAGAGCATAGGTCCGAATGGAGAAACGAAGGTGAGTGAGATCGAGGATCGAGGATCGAGGATCGAGGTGCCTCATATCGTGTTGGGATGTCACAAAGCTCTGGAACAGATGCAGCGAGCTAGATGAGAGGGGGGCGGGGGGCGCAGAGGATCAAGGCAGTCAGCTGGCGAGGTGGCCTGGCCTGGCCGTGCCGTGCCGTGCCAGCCAGGCCGTCGGATCGCACTCGCACTCGCACTCGCGAGCGACCCTTTTGTCGGGGCAATGAGCTAGCTGGGCGGCGTTGGGCGGGGGGCCCGCCTTTTTTGCTGGGCGTGGAATCGTGCTGAGTGTCGGAGTGCCGCCCGCGCACTGCGCGCTGGGCGAGCGGAGATGCAAAGCGCGTGCCTCCGATTCGCGCTAGTGCGCGCGTCTGGCGACTCGAGCTCCTCGACGCGCACGCGTCCGTCCGCGTGTGGCATTCGATTCGGCCACTTGACTCGATCGTGACATTCAAATTCACGATTCGTCATTCTTGATTTGATTCACATTCATTTCAGGATGTTGATTCAAGATTGTGGGATTTGCACGGTGGCTGGCTATTGTGCCTGCTTCGAGCTTCAACAGGCGCCCCATGTCTCCGCAGCCCTACAAACTAAGGGCACGCGCTGCCGTCTGCTGCTGCTGCTGCTGCTGCTGCTGAATACGATCCACAACTCACACTGACGAGATTGACAGCCAAGTCGTTGGATTGCACGCTTCGCCTGTCAATACAACGATCCGTTGACTTGACGTGCAGCACGGCTGGCTGGCTGGCTATCCAACGTTGCTCCTGCGCATGCGGCAAGCGTTTTGCCCGATGTCCGCGACCGCTTCGTGGCCGTGGAGGTCGGCTTGCCGCGATTCACTTCATTCGCGACTGTCGCTATGCAGCAGCGGTGCGCCCAGAGATGTACCGTAGTGGGCTGATGCGGTCGTCACTGAATCGTGTTCAGGGCTTGACTGCCCGAATCCGCACGCAATGGGCTCTTTAGCGCGTATCGGCAACCACTCACTACTCACCGATGTCGAACAGTACCATTGCGATACGTGTCGCGCTCCGACGATCTGATCCGTGAATCGAACTTAGAGGCGGACGGCGTCTTTGTCTGCCTTTGGCCCTATCAGACACCGCTTCGAGATCGCGAGGTGCCAAATTCGGCATCAGCGGGGCGCACGACGCAGGAAAGCTGACAGCCTCGGCGATTTGTTCCAGTGCGGAATGCGAAGAGATCAGAGGAAGCTCACGCAAGCGGGGGGGGGGGGGGGGG